ACCTCTATTTTTCATTATGATATCCAATGAGCTATTAGGGAAGAGAGAGATAGAGAGTAAATACATATGAGTCTGCATGCTAACCCAGTGTTCTGGCCAATCCTCTGGATGCTTCCTGCCTCTTTTAGCTGTAACTGCTTCAGGACTAGCTGCAGCTGACTCCTTCCAGCTCATTCTCCCTTAGTGTGCCTTGTGTTTGCTCCCTTCATTCTGTTTTGGTAATCTGTCTGCAATCTTGCCAAAACCAAAAGTGATTGACTTCGCCCCTAGAATACAAATGAGTACCTTGGTGTCAGTATGTCCAGACAGAGCCAAAGATAACAAATTACTTTGGTCATGGGAGAATGCTATGAAATAAGACAGTACTTTATTACTGCTTTAAAAAATGTTTTTAAGGGCTGGAAATTTCACAGCACAGACTCCTATGTTCCTTTGAGTCAGACCAAATGTACCTGCCTGCTGATTTGCTGAGTGACCTTTACCAAATTCTTGATTCATACTAGTTGCTAATTGGTTGACCTCTTAGAATTGCAGTAAAATATGAATTATAAGGTGAGCATTCACCCTGAGGAAAATATGAAGTACTACATTAATGGAGAAGTCAGAATGTCAGTCCTGTCCAGGACCCAAAAAGATCATTCTGCCCAACTTCTCTCCTTTACAGATAGAGAAACTGAGGCCTAGGCAGGAAAAATGCTTTGCCCAGTGTCACTCAGCCAGTTATGGTCCTGCCTAGGTCTGAAGTACACTCCTGATGTCCTTATGGACTCTCTTTTTGGCACAGTAAGTGTCCATGTATCTCCAGGCTTCTACTTTCTGAGTGGACAAAGGCTTGCATTTTGCATCTCTGGACTTCCTTCTTTCCTTCCTTCTTTCCTTTCTTTCTTTCTTTTTTTGTGACAGAGTTTCTCTGTGTAGCTTTGGAGCCTGTCCTGGAGCTCACTTTGTAGACCAGGCTGGACTTGAACTCACAAAGACTGTTGCCTTTCCTAAAAACCGTTCTTTCTGGTATATTCTCCTTCTAGTTGATCTGGCCTATTGAGTCTTTTGAAATCCATATAGTTTATTATATAAAGAATAGTGAATATATTCTTCTTGGAAGATGGCAGAATGAAAATAATACAGTCTCTTCTCCATCTCACTATCTCTAGTAAAGATGCTGTCAGTGATCGCTCCTTCAATCCACCCTCTCATCTCAGGTGATCTCAGTCCTTAGTGGTGGATCATATGCTAGACTGTTCTCCCTCAAAACTGATAAAAAGCCCCAGGAGAGTGTACATTAAAGGTTGAAGCACACAATTTTAGCAAGTGAAAAGTAGCCCTTGTTTCTAAAACTGGCTACCAAGAAATAGCTGGAATTTAATTCCCCTCTTCTTATTTTATATTCTCCTTGCCCTGAATTAGCTACTGAAAGAGTGAGTTCTTATCCTCATGTGATGACTCAAACCTCCGTTTCCAAGGGGTCTGAGTCATTGTTGGTATGTATAGGATTGCTTTAGGCTTGCATCGACTTTACCTCAAGGGGTGCCATCGTGTGGGTGGAGAGGAAGAAACTGATCCAGGTTCCCATAACCAGCTGGTGGGGCCTGGTATAGACATTATTATATAGTGGAGAAAGAAAAAAAAAAAAGTCATTTCCTTATCCCTTACACGTAGAATTTCTGAAAACTGGTCCAAGCCTCTAAGTTTCCTGCTTATAAAATAAGTGAAAATATCTCCCTGAGAAGACTGATGTGAGAGTTAACCATAAGATGCTTAGAGAACTCTGGGCATGCAGTTGGTGCCTACTTTTGCCCCTTTCCTTTTCCTTCAGTTGAAGGGTGCCTGGGTTTTAGCACTCTTCTTACTTCCTTTCTAGACTAGGAAAGAGGGCAAACATTTGTTGTCTACTGTAGCTTATGAAATCTTTACCAACCTTTTGAAAATATACCAACCTTTCTGTGCCAAGATGGGACCTGGCAACAGATGCCGGAACTGCAGGCCACAGATCCCCAGGAGTGAGCCAGTCTGTGCAGCTGAGGGATCTGGAGATGGAGTTTTCCACCATGTGATCTTACTTTTCTTATAGATATTATAAAACTGCTCACTGGCAAGGGCCCAAGATGACAGGAACTAAGAAAAAAAGAATGCAGTAGGTCCCTTCATATGTGGAAGGTGACTGCTCCTGTCTTCTTGCACATTCTAAGTGTACTGGCACAGACATCTCACTTTCTCCTGTTGTGGAAGCAGGAGATGGCCAGGCATGGTGACACTTGCTTGTAATCCCACCACTTAATACAGAAGGATGAATAATTCAAGGACAGTCTCAGATACATATCAAGTTTGGGACTAGCCTGGACTATATGAAAACCTGCCTTAGCAAACAAACAAAAAATGCAGGGGAGCAGTAAGCGGGTGTCTGGATTTTGAACCTGAGGTTCCCTGACAGGCCCACCCACCCACAATGAAGTTTGTGCTGCTTTCTTGTGAGTGAATTGAATTAGGAAATAAAGCAGGTGGTATGGAAAACACAGTGTCAGGAAATCACCATTTTACATGTGAAAAAAAAAAGAACATCATGGGGACAAACTAAAATTGGTGTTTATTTTGAGACAGGTTCTTCCTGTGGAGCCCAGGATGGCATCAAACGTTCAGTCCTCCTTGCCTTGCCAGTGGTAGTAATAGGTTTATCCTTAGTTGGAAAAACTGTCAGTAAAGTATCTTTTCATTATTCTGTTATTTTCACTTGGTCTGAATGGTCATATAAAGTCCAAATGAAAAGCAGCCACAGTTTATTGTATGATTAATAAACAAAAATTGAGTCTCAAAAAAACAAAACAAAAACAAAAATTGAGTAAATTACAGGCCTTTTTTTTTTTTTTTCAGAGCTGGAGATTGAACCCAGGGCCACATGTGTGCTAGAACAGTAGCTATACCTTCTGAGCTTTGAGTTTCTACCTGTTTCTTAGGCTAGTGATATGTAGAACAATGCCTCTTGTCATGCTGGACAGAGGCAGCAATCCTCATCACCAGCTGGGTGAGCATGAGGAACAGCAGCAGATACACCGTAGTGTACTGCATTGCTAAGCTGTGATGTTTAGTAGGAGAGCTGTATTCAATCATTTTGTCTAATTTCAGTTCACAGTGGGTTTAATCAGATCTAATTCCATCATGGGTCCAGCATCTGTAGCACACCAATCTCTTCTGAGACCTTCTTAATTCTCACCAATTAGAAGCAATTGTTTCCACTTGGAACTCTGTCTCTTATTTTTATTTATCATTTTATAAACCATTGTCATCTCTGTTCTTTTATTCTCTTCTGATCTTTCCCAGTGTTTTGCACAGTAGGTCCCCAGTAAGTGATGTTGAGTGGCTACATCCCAAACTCATTGAATTAGCATTTTTGTTGACTTGATGGGTCCAGGGACAAGAGAGAAGGGAGAAAGCCTAGAGCTTTGATCATGTGCCTGCAGTATCCAATGTTCAGTCTACCCATGACTGTATGGTGAGATGAAGGAAAGCTTTCTGGTTAGCTACCTTATCTCCCTCTAGACGGCTTCCTTTCTTTGAATTCCACAATTTGTTCCCTTTACTGGTTACCTATTGCTATATAACATAACATATCACTTCCAAACAAAATAATTTATTATTTTTTATAGTTTCTGTGAGTCAGAAACACAGAAACAAGCTTGGCAGAGCAGTTCTGGACAATGTGTCAGATGTTTCTATGACTTAAACATCTAAATTCTTAACTGGGACTTTAAGATTCATTTGCAAGATCACTCACATGGCTAGCAGGTTAGTACTGATGTGTTAATCCCTTCCACATGGACCTCCAGAGGTCTGTGTATGCCCTCACACTATACTAGTTTTCTCTCTTGGCAATAGAAGCTCAACATCACAGAAACTACAATGCCCATGTAATAGAACTCTAAATAGTCACATTTTATTATGTACTTCTCTCATATTCTATGAGTAATGTAGGTCATTCCTGGTTTATTTGGGTGGAGATTGTAAGTGAGTGTGAATATCAAGAGTCAGGGATAATGGAACTCATAGAAGGCCATCTCAGAAGTCAGCCACCATCCTCCTAGCCATGCCGCGATTCCTCGGTAAATAGTTGTTTATTTATTTCCTCTTCATTGCCATTGTCATTATTCATTCAGGGTCCTGTTCTACATCATTAACTTTGAGTTGCTAACCTTCCTTAACCCACTCTCCACATGGTTGCTTCCAGAGCATAGTTTGAGAATGTTGTTCTCTTACCCACCTTTAGGAACCAAGATATATACTGCGTGAGTGCAAAGTCTATTGTATTTGTTGTTTCTTCATTAATATGTCACCACAGACTTAGTAATCTAAAGCAACACACCTTCGTTATCTCAAGGCATCATGGATCCTTTGTAAGGCTGCAAACAAGGTGTCCGTTCAGTTTACCTCTCACCTGAAACTCCACTGGGGAAGAATCTGTTTCCAGAGTCATGTGGTCGTTGGCAGTATTCAGTTTCTTGTAGAGATACTGAACCTAGGGTCTCAGTTTCTTATTTTCCCTCCTTGCTAGCTTAAGGGAAGCTGAGCTTAGTTCCCTGCCTCATGGCCATTTTATAGCGTGTCAGCTGGCTCAACAAAGCTAACAGGGCAGATCATCTTTCAGCAAGACAGATGTTAAGATATTTTGTAATGTAACCCCTAAAAGTATTCATGTACATTCTATTAAATTTCACTCATTCTGTTAGTCAAAAGCAAGGTACAGATCACCCACACACACACACACACACACACACACACACACACACACATTAGGGTTGGGGGGAGGAGATGAGAAGCTGTGGAAAGGTATGAATACCAGAGGAGAAGAATAACATAGTCCATTTGAGAGTCTGTCTGCCTCCACTATGTGTCTGCTGCACCCTGTGCAGTACATGATATACATAGAGCAAATTCCAGTATCTGAATGATTGACGTTATGTTTCCAACACCAGCTTGAGCATCTGTCTTCTCTTCCATCTCTTCTGTTTCAGAGTTACTGGTTCGTTCTTGAGACTTATCTACTCTAAGCCATCCTCATGGATGAACTTCAGGATGTTCAACTCACAGAGATCAAACCACTTCTAAATGATAAGGTAAAGACTGTTTTGCTTTAGCTAAAATATATACAGATGGTTTTCTTCTGCTATTAATTAATTTCTTATATCATCAGAATACTAGGTAAAATATTAGCTTGATTTTTAATGCCTGGAGACCAGAGGGTGGAGTTAGCCAATAGTTAACCAAAGAGGCCAAGCAGTGGTGGCACACACCTTTAATCCCAGCACTTGGGAGGAGGAAGCAGGAAAATCAGGAGTTCAAGGCCACCCTGGGCTACAAGAGTTTGAACCAGTCTAAAAGAGAAACAGAGCCAGGTAGTGGTGGCTCATGCTTTTAATCCCAGCACTAGGGAGGTGGAGACAGGAATATAAGATGGATAAGATAAAATCTCGGCTGCCCCTTCAGTCTGAGGATTCATGGAGACAGGAGGGGCTTACCCCATTCGGTCAGAGGCTCCAGAGAGATAAGAAGTGACTGTGACTGCTTCTTTGCTTCTCTGTTCTCCAGGCAAGCTTTATTTGTCAGAACACAAACAAAATACCATACAACAGGGAATATTTGTAAAAATTCATTTCTAACCTACTCTTTGGTGTCTCCCTACCTTTTTTTTTCTTTTCCACAAGAATATGCAGTCATTTTTTTTTAAAAGTTTTCCTACTTTATAGAGATCTAAAAGGGAAGAAATAATATGGCCAATTTAAATAGAAAATGTAAAGGTGGCATTTGATTTAGGATCCAAATGCTTTACCTTTTAGTTTCTATAAGGAGATTTTAACACGCATGGTTAGTGATAGATATAGGCTACAATGCTCTCCTAATATTTGTTGAGTCTACAATGTGACCTTTTGGTCAACATCACCATTTTCATCAGAGATAGATGTCAGTAGTATACCTCATTTTATGGTGGCAGGGGTGTTGGTTTTTTGATATAGGGTTTCTATGTATAGCCCTGTGTAAACCAGGCTGGCCTCGAACTTACAGATCTACCTGCCTCTGCCTCCTTAGTGCTGGGATTAAAGGTGTGTACTGCCATGCCTGACAGAATATACCTCATTTTTATCTTAGCACCAGAGAATTTCATGATGAATGGCATAGTTGACAGCCACTAGGACTCACCAAATACAAGGCATGATGTGAGGTACCAAACATCAAGACAAGCAGATCCCTCTTGTCCTCCCTGTTCATTGTACACATCTGAAACACTTTCCTATACTATTCTTTTGGTTTATTGTCCTAGTCTTCTGTCAGAGTACTTTATAGCTTGGTGTGAGTCCATAATATCCTTAAAGGAAAAAATTAAGAGAGCGTGTGGATAAGGTGAATGGGTGGGGAAGGATGAGAGCACTAAGCAATGTTGATGCTAATGATCTCTGTCTGTCTGAAGCAAGGCTCTTTATAACATCTAGTTCTGCTGACTTATAATTTTTACTAAATTATATTGCATCCTGCCAGCCCCATACTTACCCTGTGACTTCTTCTCTCTGTCACTTCTTCCTTTGACTTTCACTAGACTTCATGTTCTCTCCTTTGGCAGTCTATACTTTTTAACACCCTCTTCTTGACTTCTGCTGCCCTCCCCCAACATGTTTCCAGAAATCTCTATTCATTAAATACCATCTTTCTATGTATAAGGAGGATTGTACCTAAAATAATGTTCAGGAAGAGGAGGAAGGAACTAAAACCTACAGCTGTAAAGCTCATGTCTAGCCACAGAAATGAATATTATCAAGGCAGGAGAAAGCAAACCATTTAGCTTCAGTAACTAAATAACCTGCCCTCAGTCTTGCTAACTATCAGGTAAGGGATTGTTTAAAAATGAAGGTCCCAGACCAGTCTGAGAGGTAAAGACTGTGGTCAGTAGATGTCAGCGATTGTCAAGTGTTTATCCACTAAGCTACTTACCCCCATTATCTTCATCATTGTTTTGAGACAGGGTCTCACTGCAATTCAGACTGGCCTTGAACTCTGGATTCTCGTTTATGCCATGTCTTAGCTGTTCAGCGTTTTTAAAAGTTCCCAAGATTGAGACTGGACCATAGTTGATTTTGATTGGCCAATGTTAGAAAAATGGCCTGATTGACTTCAGATATTTGAAGACTGAGACAAATAAATGCCCTTCCCTGGCCCTGAAAAGCCACAAAATGGCTGCGGAGGCATTAAATGCAGAAGTTAGTTGCTTGTGTATATCACAGAAAGGGCAGTTAGAGAAGGAAAGGGGTGGTGGTGGTACCTATAGAAAAGTACTGAATTGAGGCTGGACAGATGGCTCAACAGTAAAGAATGTATATTGCTCTTGCAGAGGATGTGAGTTGGGTTCCTAGCATCCAGGTTGAGCAGCTCACAACTGCCTATAACTCCAGCTCCAAGAGATCTGATACCCTTTTCTGGCCTCTATGGACACATTCATGCTCATGCACATATTCCTACAAAGGCACATACACATAATTTACACAAAAGAAAGAAAATCCCTGGATTAATGTCTGAACCTTTCTAAGGCTACAAGGATGTTTCAGCTAGGTCTGATGTGTGCCTTAACATTATAGAATGAATTGTGTTCCCCCCCAATTTTATGCACAGAAACTTTAACCCACACCACATGTGACTTTTGGAGAGGAGGCCTTGTGATGGTTAGTTTTTTGTTTTTGTTTGTTTGTTTGTTTGTTTGTTTGTTTGTTTGTTTTTCAAGACAGGGTTTCTCTGTGTAGCTTTGGAGCCTGTCCTGGAACTCACTCTGTAGACCAGGCTGGCCTTGAACTCACAGAGATCCAGCTGCTCTTCCTCCCCAGTGCTGGAATTATAGGCATGTGCCACCACTGCCCAGTGTGATGGTTAGTTTTAATTGTCAGCTTGAAATGATTTAGAATCACCTGGGAAGACAGTCTTGATGAGGAATTGATTTTCTAAACTAGGTTGGTCTATGGGCATAACTGTGGGGAATTGTCTCGATTGTGCTAAATGATTAGGGAAGACAACCTACAAGTAGGCAGCGCCATTCTCTGGGTTTGAGTCTTGGACTATATGAAAAAGGAGAAGGCAAGCTGAGCACTGCAAGCACGTGTGTTCTCACTCTCTCTGCTCCTGACATCCCAGTGATAACGGATAACCTGGTTTGTGAGCTAAAACCAAACCTTTCTCTGCCCAGTTGCTTTTGTCAGGTGTTTTTATTGTAGCAACAGTACAAACCTAAGACAGGCCTTTACAGAAGTGGTTACAATTCAGTAAGGGCAGAAATATAGCAACTCATCTGATAGGGTTGGTGGCCTCTCCCTGTTACTGTATGAGGGACAGTGAGAAGGCTGTTATCTGTGAGGCAGGAAGAGCCTTCATCAGAGACTGAACTGAGCCACAACCTTCATCTTAAACTTTGCGACTTCCAGACTGAGCAACTAACTTTCTGCTGTAAGTCTTCAGATCTGTGTTATTTCCTTGTGACCCAAATAGACTGACACCAAGCAAAGTCTCACTCCCTAACATCTGTCAGTCCCTCTTTGATATGCTTGTCCTGTTTCCATGCACTTCCCACACTCCCATCTTGCCTCTTCCTCTCCCTGAGACACATCCCTGTCCCATTTACTATTCATGAAAGTCCTGTGTTCAGACTGAGTAGACAAGAGTTCCCTTTGAACAGTGGCGTTATCAGAGAATTATACCTCATATCCTCCCATGTTCACTGATCGCAGGGATTCCTTGGTATTTGAACTGCCAGCTTAGTTCAGTAAGTTGGTACTTTTGTATATGTTGTAAAAGAAAATGATGAGGAAAATGCCTCTCACCCATCTCCACCATTTCATTTGATGCTCTAAATAGCTTGGTGAGGTAGAGAGCACAGATAAGGGTATTTATTTCCATATTGCTGAGTAAAATAAAGCTAAGAGAGGAAGTAGCTCTCTAGCTTGAGCTCCAAATAATGCTTGCAGGATTTCTTCATATTGACACTGATATTGTTTTGGACTAGATATTCTTTGGGACACTATTCTGTGCAATGTAGAATGTTTAGCAGCAACTTTGGCCTGTATCTACTGGATGCTACTAGCTCTCCCCTAGTGAGAACTGCAAAGTCTCCAGACGTTGCTAAACATCTTCTGGGGTACAAGGTCCCTGGACGACAAGCACTGGTGCTGGGTTTGAATGGATAGATGCCTTGAGACACTTTTGTTGTTCCTTTAGGCTTCCTTCCTTCCCTCCTTCACTCTCCCTCTCTTTCCTCCCTTCCTCCCTTTCTTCATTTTTTTTTTGGGGGGTGGAGTACGGGCTATCCAGCTATTATTTATTTATTAAGTACTTTTTATGTGCCAAATGCTTTACATCTATTCTCTCTCAGTCCTCAGATTATTCCTTTGGAATAGTATTAATATTCACTTAGCAGGTAAAAGTAAGCTGATTGACAGGCCAGCCTGCCCAGTCAGTAAGTGGTAGAGCTGGGACTGAAACCCAAGTCCTTCCTGTTTTGAAATGTTCTGCCAACTGTTGGGACCATGTAGACTCTGCCAGTGTAACTTCTCTTGTCTCTTTAAGGAGCAACCTAGAGATGTATATTATTTTACCCCATCTTTTTCTTCATGATTTGCTCTTAGCCTAAGACATCGCCAAACCCTTTCAGGCTTCAGGGAGCTAAAGGAAACGTAGACCAACTCTACTGCAGAGAAGCGTGTCCTGGGTGACCATAAGGAAGTATTTTCCATATATTTTAAGAGACACTTATGTTAACTTGTCTCATTACTCATTGGTATTCTTCCCATTTTATTTTAGTATGCCTGTAATTTTGTCTATAGCTCAGAATTGTCAAGAAGTGGGTGAATTTGCCATGTTTATTTTGGCTCCAGTGGTGAAAAGAATTTACCACCAGTACAGAATGTATAGATAAATGAGTGTTTTGTTTTTTTTTTTTCTTCAAATAGCATTATAAATGTGGTGGTACAGACTATAATACCAGTGCTTAGAAAGCTGAGATAAGAGAACACCAAGTCCTAGAATACATAGCAAGATCCTGTCTTAAAAGAAAAACCAAGTATAATAGCATACCTCTAAAATCCTAGCACTTGGGAGACAGAGTCAAGAATGTTGTCAAGAGTCCAAGATTAGTCTTGTGACTTAATAGTGAGTTCCAGGCTAGCCAGGCAGGACTATATAAGACCCTGTCTCAAAAAAAAAATATTTAGCCATTTTCAGAGTATTTTTACAAATATTATATTATTTTCCAGCCTGGCATGGTGGCACATACCTTTAATCCCAGCACTTGGGAGGCAGAGGCAGGTGGATCTCTATGAGTTTAAGACCAGCCTGGTCTACATAGTGAGTTCCAGGACAGCCAGGGCTATGTAGAGAAACCCTGTCTCATAAAAACAAACAAAAGGACAAACATTATATTATTCTCTTAGCCTCTTGCTAAATAATCACCTGTTTTACAGATGAGGCACATAACTTGTCCAAAGCCAGTGTCTATTAAAGTATTAGAGCCCAGTCTAGAACCTTTAACTTTTAACTCTGACCCTGAACTGGGGATCTGATGCTGTTCCTGCCATCCACTGCTGCTGCTTGTTTGTTATTCAGCCACCTCACCCAGCAAATCTCATACCAAGCAGGAGAGTTGACCATGCTTCGTTCCCCTGTTTTCTAGTCTGCCTACTTGCTTTAGATACTAAAGAACCTAGTTAAAGCCAGAAGCCAGGTATGAAAACAAAAACAAAAAATAGGAAGCCACAGTTGAAGATATATCAGGAAGGGGAACAAATACCCAAGGGGATGATGGAAACAAGCTATTTGCTTTGTTTTGATTATTACAATAAATTGTGAAATAACTCATACTCATACTCATACTCATACTGTAGTTTAAGGTTTGTTTTTCTACTGATGACTAGGCATGTAAGCAAAGGGAAAGGGGAGGGTATAAGAGTTGTAAGAGGGAGAACTCTGGGATCAACTTTTTATTGATATGGTTGTTTTGTCTGCATGTATGTCTATGCATCACTTGTGTGCCTGATGCCCACAGAGACCAGAAGATGGCATTGGATCCCCTGGAACTGTAGTTAGAGATGCTTGTGAGCTGCCATGTGAGTGTTAGGAATTGAACCTGGGATCTTGGAAGAGCAGCAAGCACTCTTAACTGCTGAGCCACCTCTCCAGCCCCTGGGAACAACATATTTATAAGCTCCAGGAGAACAAAAACAAGAGTTTGTGTCGGGTTCCTTTTTTAAAGATCGTATGTGGAGTGGGGCATGGGGTGGAAGGAGATTGGATGGCTCAGTCTTAATAGCACATGTTGTATAAGCCCGATGACCTGAGTTTAATCCCCAAAACCTATGTAAAGGGGGAAGGAGAGAACCAGCTGCCCTTTGTCCTCTGACACCCACATGTATGCAGTGGTGCACATGTTCCTCCTCCAATAATACACATACATACAATAATAAAATAACTTTTTTTTTTAATTTAATAAAGGTTTCCAGAGGGTCTGCCCTATTTGGTGGGTTACTGGTTAAAGGCTGGGTAGCTGGAGTGTCAGGAAGGGCAGTGTAATAGGGCAGGGAGTGCCTAAGTTCCCTAGCAGTCCCAGGTGAGCCTGCAATACTTCCTTACTATGATCAAGCCTCATTGTGGATGGTGTTGCTTGCTTAGAATCTGAGATTATGAAAAAATTCCAGGAAAAATCTGGCTCAGGGAAATAGATACTGTGGAGTGAATTAGAGGCAGGTTTAGGGATGCCCCTGCTGCTGTAGCTGTTGGCCCTGGCCAGTGAGAACTTGATCACTGTATATTCTGAGTTTCTGGGAACCAGGAGAAGGAGTGTGCTCTGAAAGAAAGAAAAGGAAGGGTGTGTGGGGATAACTTGATGGTAGGTCACACATCTCGTATGTATGAGGCCCTGGGTTCAATCTCTAGCACTGCCCCCCCCCCCAAGTCTGCAGTTAAAATCACATTTGTTGACATTTCCATCAGAGAGTATTCTGAGGTGCTATTTCTGGTACGCACTACAAGGTGGGTGTGTCTTAGTGTGCTGAGACAATTGTCACAACTCTTGTAAAAATGACCTCAATGGGACTGAGGCAGGCAGTAGGTTCCCAAGAAGGTATCAATGCCACCACAACAGACTGGGTGACTGTCAACCAATTTCAAGAAACAGGAGATTGTGAGAAGAGCCCAAACCATAGCCACAGCCTATCAGAGTGCTCAAGGAATTTTTAATACAGGAGTCTACAACCTATAGCATTAGCCCGATAGTGTGTAGTGTGTCAGTTTCAAAGTTGAAATTGTATTTTTTTTCAGCAGTCGATAGGTGATAACTTGATTACAGATGAGTCTTATCATAGCATCTGGACTCTAGATTTATTTAGGAAGTCTGTTATTATTTTTTGAAATAATGATTGATATAGATGCTTAAAAAACATACATATAGAGTTTTCATTCTCATCTTGGATTATCAGCTTGAACATATTTCTCCTCAGAAAAAGGTTTGCTGAGGAAGTTAAAGTGGAAGAATCATAAATTTGAGGCGAGCCTAAACTATATAGCTCTATCTCAAAGCTTTGAAATAACACTGATTATTGACGTATGTTAATTGTTTGTTTTACTCAATTAAAAACAAATGGGGTATTTTTTGAGTTTATTTGAACTGCTTGTTCATGCTTCCATTTTCATTTTGCCTTCTGTTGGGGAGGATTTTTTAAAAGAGAGATGCTGTGTTTTTCTCCTCTGTAGAAGGTTCTTTGTTGTTTTGGCTTTTGTCCCTAAGGGTGGAACCCAGGGCTTCTGGTGTGTTTGTTACCCAAACTTGGTATCATGGAGCTGCATCTCTAGCCATGTTCTCCTTTAGAAAAATTTCATCTTCAGAAAGAATCTTACTAAGTTGCCTAGACTGGCCTGTAATTTGTAGTTGTCCTGCCTCAGTGATTCATATAAAGTTGAATTACAGGTATACTACAGCACTTGGCAGTCAATTTTTGTGTCCTTTTGTTTTTGAGATCAATTTATTTCTAAAACTTTTATTGTTGTAACAACTTACTATCCCCACATTAGTTCCTTTCCTCTTTGGTATTTGTGTCTGCCTCAAATTCTCTGTTCTTTTGAGGTGTTCATAACCTCTCCAAGATGACAGTTTTGCACTTTCCTGAGTGTCAGGACCAAGAATAGTCGGTGAGTCAGACATAGGCCCCCTCCTGCTGCGAGCACACAGCACAGGCGGTTCCCTGGGTCTCTTCTGGGTGTTGCTCTCAAGATCTTATTAGCTCATCTTTCTTTACATTGTGGCCATTGTCTTCTGCCTCTCAGAACTTCATATACTTGTTTTGCCTGCGTGTGTGTGTGTATAAATGTACCATAGCATGCCTGGTGCCTGCAGAGTTCAGAATAGGGTGTCGGATCTCCAGGAACTAGTGTTACAGACAGTTGTGAGCCACCAAGTGTATGCTGGGAACCAGGACCTTGGGAAGAGCAGCCAGTGCTCTCAACCACCGAGTCTGCTCTCCAGCTCCACTTTTTTCATTTCTTGATGTGACATGGTATTGGGAAAATACATCTCTCTTCTCTCTAGTGATTACTGTTTCTCCCATCCAATTTTTTTATTTATTTGTGTTACATACTCTTCTCCTTTCTTTGACCAGTTCTTAGTTGCTTTTTCCTTACTCAGTCGGGGGAATTACTTGCTTTGCATTTATAGTTTTCTTGTTTGCTTGTTGTTTAATTTTTTGTAGTGCTGAAATTAGAACGCAGGGCTTTGATATGTCGTGCAAACACCTTTATACTGAGCCACCTATGAAGCTCAGAACACTGCACAAAGATGGTCTTGCATATCTCTCTCTCTCTCTCTCTCTCTCTCTCATTCTCTCTGTCTCTCTCATTCTCTCTGTCTCTCTCATTCTCTCTGTCTCTCTCTCTCATTCTCTCTGTCTCTCTCTCACTCTCAATGAAAAATTTATTATTAGTACCCTTTTTTCCTGGGAGTCGAGTTTGTACACTTGAGTAAGATTTTTCCTAATTCCTCAACAAACAAGATAGCTGACATTTCTGGAAGGAATTGCTGTTTCTGATTTTGGCATTTCTCTTGTGCTCATCTCAGAGGCTTGTACCTCACAAAATGCCTTGTGGTTGCTATCACATGATCACAAGGAATCTGAAGTCATGCACCCAGTGACAGCTGCTTCCAAAGAGCCCAGTCAGATTAGAGTGATTTTTCTTTAATCTTTCTAAATAATCCCTAAAGGAACCTTTAGGAACACTGTAAGACTGCAGCCCTAATGTGGCCCGTCTTTACACCTATGCCTTTTTGTACAAATCCTTTTGTTTGGTATATTACAAAAGGGAAGCACATGCTTATGGTAGAAAAGCATTAAAGAAATTACAATCACTCACAAACTCTATGCAGAGATAGATGATGGTTAATGTTTGGTTTTTTCCTTCTGGTCCTTTTTTTTTTTTTTTGAGACAGGCCTCATAGTCTAGCCAGGCTGGGCTGGATTTCACACTGTATCTCAAACCAGCCTTGAACTCTCAGCAATCCTGCCTCAGTCTCTAAGGGATAGGACTATAGGCATGGGCCTAGCTTAATTTTTTAAAATTGTCTTGCTTACTGCATAAATCAAAGAATTCACCTGCTGGTCACTTATCTCTTACTGAAACCATCTACTTTAGTCTGTGCAAGGACCCTTCCTTTAGTCTTTCATAGTCTTACTGGAAATGCAATGCAATGGCTTCTTTGAAGAAGTATCTGTATCTTGTAGGACTAGTAGGAGGCATATATAACTTATAGCAGCCTTCCTTGGAATGTGCTGTCCTATCTCATCTGCATGGTTATCATAGCTGTCTTTCCATGCTCTAACTATATCAGACTTTAAAATTATTTATTCAATTTTGAGTCAAAAATGATGCTCAGGCTAGCCTTCTCTGTTCTTGTTTATTATTTGTGGCATCTGCAGTTTCCCAGTGGTTGTTGATATGTTGTGAGTTTACTGTGTACATCTTAGAAACCCCAAGGCTGTTTATCTAGAATCTTACTCCTTCAAAAGGTCATCAGACAGCATGATACAGATATTTCTGCCACAGTGGAAGTGTTGTGTGTATGTGCTGCCCAGGAACATGGGCATTAGATATGGCTAATGCAGCTGAGAAACTGATTTTTTTTTTTTAATTTTAAACCTAGTAGCAAGGTGTAGTCCATACACCTGTAATCTCAGCACTCAGGAGGTAAGAGGATTGTGAGTTCAAGGCAAGCCTAGGCTGCATAGTGAGATCCTGTCTCACAAAACAAAATTAAAAACAATGCGGAAAAAGTTACATCTATACATGCATAACTTGAATTCTTCATGTGACTGATGGCTGCCATGTTGTATTGCACTGATCCAGATTACCCCAGCTGGTTCTACTAGCTCCTCTCCTGGGCAGGGTAGTCTGTTTCTTTTGGTGCGTGTACCCATAGGCTCTACCTCAACCTTTGTTCTGTCTTGCCAGTTGGGTAAGTGGTGGGATCAGGAAGAATGGTATTTTTTTCTTTTTTTAATATTGGGAATCAAACCCAGGGCCTTGAACATACTAAGGCCAGTGCTGTAGTAGCCACACATCCACCAGCTACACCTCTGGCTCATGGAAGAACTGTTTCTAAGATGAGCTTCTTGAGCAGCTGTATATCTAGAAAGGCAATGTTGAGAAAGGCTCTCATTTGCAGCTCCACTCCTTCTGGAGGTTGTTGGGGAGAAAAATACATGTGCCATTATATAACAGTCTAACTAGTAAGAGCTTTTCAGGGACGGGCTTTTCCTTTAGGAAAAATCAAGTCAGAAGGTTTTTCTCTCTTCTTTTCCAAATACATCACCTGTTACCCTTTTTGTACTCTTATGTTATACTCTTTCAACTTTGGCAGCTTAAACGCTGCAGATGTGCCTCTGAATCATTCCACTGATTCCCTCAAGCATTACTATCATATAATCCCCTTCCAGAAGCTTAATGATTTCATTTGGAGCTTTTAGATATGTTGTGCTTTTTTAATGATTCAGTGATTTTTTTCCCTCTTTTTTTTCTTATCAGCAATTTCATAGGATATAATTAATATGCCAGTCTATTAAGAACTCCGTTTTGTTTTTCTTTCCTTCTGTAACATTACCTCTTAGAAAAATTTGATTGATTTTTATTTATGTCTGTGTGTGAGCCTGTCTATATATGTACAGTTCCCACAGAGGCCAGAAGGCATTGGATCCCTTGGAACTGGAGTTGCAGATGGTTATGCAGGTGGCCACCTAACCTGGATCCTCTGCAAGACAGCAGGTGCTCTTAACTGCGGAGGCATCTCTCCAACCCCCAACATTGCTTTTCTTTTTTCCTTTGTAATTAAGGTTTACTATTTTTATTTATATACATGTGTACATAGATGTGTGCACAAGTGTGGGAGTGCCTGCAGAGGCCAGAGGTTTTGGGTCTCCTGGAGCTGGAGTTACAGGTAGTTGTGAGCTGCCCCACATGAGTGCCACAACTGAACTCATGTCCTCTGCATGAGTGGTGTGCATCTTTTGGTTTTTTACAGATGGCTGTGAGCCACCATGTGGTTACGGGGAATTGAACTCAGGACCTCTGGAAGAGCAGCCAGTGCTCTTAGCCACGTAGCCATCTCTCCAGCCCCTCTTTTGGTTTTTTGAGATAAGGTTTCTCTGTGTAGCCCTGGCTATCCTGGAACTTGTTCTATAGACCAGGCTGGCCTCGAACTCAGAGATCCATCTGCCTCTGCCTCCCAAATACTGGGATTAAAGGTGTGCCTAGCACAGTGTGCTCTCTTAACTGGGAGCCATCTTCCCAACATTGCTTTTCTTCCTCCTCCTCCTCCTCCTCCTCTTCTTCTTCTTTTTCTTCTTCTTCTCCTCCTCCTTCTTCTCCTCCTCTTCCTCCTCCTCCTTTTTGTTGTTGTTGTTTGTTTGTTTTGTTTTGGCGCCTGTCCTGGATCTCTCTCTGTAGACCAGGCTGCCCTCGAACTCACAAAGATCCTCCTGGCCTCCCGAGTGCTGAGATTAAAGGCGTGTACCACTGGCTAACATTGCTTTTCTTATCTAACTAAAGTTAGATTTGAAATCTTCATTTCTTGGTTTTGTCTTCTTCCCAGTTGTTTCTTTAATCTCTAGATCTGGAAACCTTCTTTCTGTTCTCATCACTGTCCGTGTGGCCCCCAATGTCTTTCTTTCTAGGTACTTCCCATGTGTGTTGAGGATGAGCTTTAGACTGTGGTTCATGTTTCACTCTCTTCCTACACATCCTTACTGCTTTCTTCCCACAGAAGGCACAATACTTCAGGATTTGCTGGGTGACTAGGCTTTGTCTTCATTTTAACCTCACCTCTGAAAATGGAGCCCGCAGTAGCATATCAGACACCACCCTCTCTCCAAAGCCTTTCAATGGGAATTGTTCTAGTTTATGAGAAGTAGGAGTCTGCACGTGCACTGCTTTCATTGTGAACTAAATCTGCTGCACATTTGGGGAAACTGACTGTGTTTTCTGCCTTCCATTGACAGAATGGCACACGAAACTTCCAGGACTTTGACTGCCAGGTAAGGACTGTACAAGCACCAAAGAGGCTCTGTACAGGCTCCCTACAGTGCCTTCCTCCCTGTGCCAGTGGTCTTAGAGAAGTAGATCTTGTATTGTTGTTGTTTGTATTTTGTTTCCTTTTGTTGAAACAGGGACTGTAGCCAAAGCTGGCCTTGAACTCATGACAGTGCCTCCTGTTTCAGCCTCCCAAGTTCTGGGTTTATAGACATGAGCCACCACATCTAGCTACAAGTGTGCTCATCATACTAATCATAACTCACTAGTGTTCTTTTAGTCATTGGATCAAGTTTATTTAAAATGATTTGCTATAATATTCAAATAGTGCCTTCTAAGAACCTGTCTAATGACTATAGGTTACTTGGTTGAGCTGCCTCTTTGTGACTGAGATCTCCTCCCCTCAATAATATCAGAGACCTCATTTGTCACCAGTGATGGAAGGTTGTCACCAGACTGCAGATAAAACAGATGATGGGCAGTTTGGAGAAGAGACATCTTAATAGCAAAATTGTTTCCAACTCCCCCCCCAAAAAAAAACCAAATTATTATTAATACAAAATGAAAATTTTTCTTGGCTTTATGTTTGGAAATGCAAAATTTATCCTAACTCAGTATTCTCTTACATGGTACTGTTCTTCATAATGTACTATTGCCAATGTGAAAACCAATAAAAATGAACCAGCCATTCTCTACCAACTGACTTTATCTGTTAACTACCCCAGAAAGAAATCTAAGAAGGGAACACACACAGACATACAAGGAACCTCAGAAGCCCACACAGCCTGACTCTCTCACTCTGGATTTGGGCCATTGCAATACCATAAAGTCGACTCGAAGGGTGTTGGCAGGAAAGGATGGCGCTTCAAACTGTACTCCTTGTTTCCAGTATTCAGGCATCCTGCATATCCACCAGCAAAGAGTTATTTTATGTGAAGTACAGTCTTTATAGCATTAGCATCAAAAGGAATAAACAGCCCATTCAATTCTTGTATAGAAATTTATTTAAAAATAGCTTTTGCCTTGGCAAACCAATTCTATCATAATTATTAGTCACCTATGATAAGTATCTATTAGACAGATGTGATCTTGGAAATGTATGTTTTAGAGAAACAAAGCAATATTATAAGATGGTTTTTCTTGTTCTTATTTTCCAAGTGAGGACATGAAGTGATTGGGACTGAAAAACTGGCTCCTCCTGAATCTATTACTTACTTTTCCCCCAGATAAGTCCAGAACTAACATGTTTTAAGGAGTCAACTTGTCCTCAGAGCTGAGGTTATTTGGCAGGTTAGATGAGGCTTGCTGTGCAAGGGCAGGCTGGTAGCACTGTCCTTGAGTTTTAGTTCTAGCTGGTTCTTTCTTTTGATAGAATCAGCCTAGTGTGCATGGGAGTCATTTTTGCTCAGATTCAAAAAGTCTTTAGCACTTTTGATACTTTGTGACAATAGGGTCAGTCAAGATTGAGTTAGTTTTTTTAATTTAATCTGACTTTAGTTGTGGTTTAGGTTCTGGTTGAATGGTTGGAGTTGTTTGCTTTTAATATAATTTACCTAGAAGGATGTCATTGAGATAAGAGTGACAGGGGACTCAGTGTAATGCACTTCAGAAATATTATGTGTGCACTCCTATCTGAAAGCATGGAAGCACTTGCCTTCATCAGCTACCAAAAAGTTAGTCAGTTTAAACCATCTACTTCTTCTGCTGTGTGTGTGTGTGTGTGTGTGTGTGTGTGTGTGTGTGTGTGTGTGTTGGGGGTCTTGCACCCCTTTACCCCTGAGCTGGGGATGGAACCCAGGGCCTTGCTCATTCTAGACAAGTGCTGTGTTCATATTTAAGTATAAGTATAGATTTAAGTGAAATTAAGTTTAATATCGCCTTAGGGCTTCTACTGGGGTGGCTTACATATGCAGAGGTTTAGTCCGTTATCATCATAGCAGGATATGGTTGTGTGCAGGCAAGCATGGTGCTGGAGAAGTAGCTGAGTGTCCTATATCTTGACTTGTAGGCAACAGCAAGTGGCCTGTCTCACTGGAAGTAACTTGAGCATATATGAGACCTCAAAGCCTACCACCATAGTGACACATTTGCTCCAACAGGGCCACATCTACTCCAATAAGGCCACACCTCCTAAGGGTGCCCCTCCCTTTGGAGGCCATTTTCTTTCAAAGCACCACAAATATTAAGGCTTAAAAATAGTCTAGCAGGGGCCAGTAAAATGGTCCAGTGTGTAAAGCCACTTGCAACACAAGCCTGATAACCTGAGTTCAATCCCTGGAACCTGCATAAGGTACAGGGCGAGACCAACACCACGAAGCTGTCCTCTGACCTTCAATGTCTTCTGTGGTGTGCATATATACACATATGCAAGACATGATACTATTCTAGCAAGGGATACTCTAGCAAGGATACTACTCTAGCAATGGGATAGTTCCGTGGGTAAAGGCAGTTACTGCCTGATAACCTGAGTTCAATTTCTAAAACCCATTTTTTAAAAAGCCATAAGCAGCCAGAAAGATGGCTTAGCAGATGAAGATGCTTACTGCCAAGGCTGACAACCTGAGCTCCATTTCCAGAACCCACAGAATAGCAGGAGAGACCAAACTCTCACAGGTTGTCTTTTAACTTTGATGTGTGTGCCATGGCATGCCTACCCCCACCCCATAAATGTGTAAATATAGATTTATTTACACATAAATGTATAAATACTGTAAATGTAATAAAAATTTTAGAAAGAAAGCCCAGATGCAATGGTATGTATCTATAATCCCATCACTCCTACATCAATACAGGAGACAGAGACAGGAGAATTTAGAAGCTCACAGTCTAGCTAGCCTAGATTACACAGTATGGCAAAAACAGCAAGAGAAACCCTCCCTCAGCAAGCTGGAAGGAGAGAATTGACTCCTTAACATTGCCCTTTAATCTCCACAAATGTGCCGTGCAATGTTCGAATCCCCAGAACAACAACAATAATAATAGCTACTACTATATTATTGTTATTTTTATTTTATATTGAAACCTCAACTATAACTCAGTGGTAGAGCTCTTGCCTGGCATGTGTGAGGCCCTGGGTTCAGTCTTCAGCCCTGAAAATCAACAATAAAAAACTATATTCCTACTTTTCTTTTTATTATGAAGTCCTGTACTATTGTGTTACCATTTATTTTTGGAACCTTCATATGATACACTTTTTTTGGAATGTATCTGAATGATAAGAAAGCTTAAACCTTATTTCACCGATGTGGAAATATATTGGGGTTGTTTTTGTTTTTTTTTTTTCCCATCTGAAATAGCCTACCAAAAGGTGCTGATACATTGAATGAAGCTCTACTATCTTCTGGCATTGTAAAGATCACTTTAGTTGAGATCTGATAGAAATAGAATGAGAGCAGATGTTTTTTGTTTTGTTTTTAAAGATTTACTTATTTATTATGTATACAGTATTCTGCCTGCATGTGTCCCTGCAGGCCAGAAGAGGGCTCCAGATCTCATTACAGGTGTTTGTGAGCTACCATGTGGTTGCTGGGAATTGAACTCAGGACCTCTGGAAGAGCAGTCAGTGCTCTTAACCACTGAGCCATCTCTCCAGCCCAAGCAGGTGTTTGTTAAGATCACATGTTTGCCCGGGCAGTGGTGGCACACACCTTTAATCCCAGCACTCCAGAGGCAGAGCCAGGCAGATCTCTGTGAGTTCGAGGCTAGCCCGGGCTACCAAGTGAGTTCCAGGAAAAGCACAAAGCTACACAGAAAAACTCTGTCTCGAAAAACAAACAAAAAAAAAAGATCACGTTTGTCACTTGTTCTGGATATATGGAGTGTCTGTGTTATAAAGAAAAACTGACTAGGGATATAGCTTAGTGGTAGAGTGCTTGAAGACCCTAGGTTCAATCCTCAGTCTCCAGCACACACACACACACACACACACACACACACACACACACACACACAAAGACCTAAGGCGTAGGAACTGTGATGTGAGAAGTCAAAGATGGCCCAGCTTGCCTGAGGCTTCTGTCTTAGTTTGTTTTCTATTACTGTGATAAAGGCCATGACCAAGAGCAACTTGGGGAGGAAAGGGTTTATTTCATTCTACATCTTATAGTCCATCATCAGGGGAAGCCAAGGTAGAAACTCAAGATAGGAACCTGGAAGCAGGAACTGAAGCAGAGGCCATGTCGGAGCACAGCTTAATGATTTGTTACCCATGGCGTCCTCAGTCTGCTTTCTCATACAATCCAGGACCACCTCCCAGAGGAGGCGTGAGCCATAGTGGCAGAGCCCTCCCACAGCAATCATAAATCAAGGAAACGCCCTACAGACTTGCCTACAGGCAATCTGATGGAGCCATTTTCTCAAATGAGGGTCCCATTCTCAGGGAACTCTAAAGTGAGGTTGGTCAAAAAGCTAACTAGGACAGCTTAAATATCCATGAACATTGTTAAGAAAGAGAGCAGAGCAGATGTCAGCCCAGCGTAGCCCCTGAACTCAGAGACAGTCCTGTGACATTGATGGTGTCCACTAGAACAGCTGTGTCACAGGGGAGACTGGAGCCATACCGGGGTTTCCTTTGGGTCTTGGTTTTGCCTGACAACAATTTTTAAAGAATCTGTGATAAAAACCTCAGGGTCATTAACCAAATTCACAACTTCTGTCTAAACAGCGATTTTCTCTTCTGTTGTCTTTACTAATCAACATACAGATCTTTTTCAATAGTGAAAATTAATTGTATGTGTGCTGTTTCTCTTGATTCCTGTCACGAGTGGTATCCTTGCTGTTAGGTCCTCTGAGGCAAGCGTAGGTATATTGTAGATGTAGAATAGTGAAGGAAGGGGCATTCCAGCTGACCTGGTTAGGACTGCTGAAAGGGAGAAACAGCACTTAGTGTGAAATGACAGTGACAAGCCCCTCACTGTCCCTCTGTCTGCTTGGTGCTTCCTGATTCTTCTCTCCCATGTGACTACTTAGAAATGTGGAGCGAGAGCTTAAACGAATGCTGTAGCTT